ACCGATATCATAACCCCAACCATCACCACCGATGATCCAGTTAGAGATCTTAGGAATCAAATCGGACACATCAAGAATCTCCTGAATAGCAGGATCCTTACTGGCCTCAGCCTTGAGAAGAGGCGGGAGAGACTTGGAAAGAGCGGCGCACACAGAAGGATTCCTGAAGTTCTCAACCCACTCGTTCAACTGAGTGTACAACTCAGGCGAGAGCGGACTATCCTTTCCTTCGAGAAGAAGTTCCTGTACACGAGCCTTGAGCGCCTTACGACGGACAGAGGTGGTCACAGCCATACCCATACCATATTCTGCAGCGTCTTCGAAAAGACTGTTTGCCCAGGCGGGACCAGTCCCATCGTATCTCGTAGTGAAAGGAGTGGGACCGTAAGGAGCACCCCAGATACTGGAGCAACCGGTAGCATTAGCAATCACCATGCGGTCACCGAACATTTGAGTGAGAAGGCGAACATAGGGAGTTTCACCACAGCCAGCACAAGCACCATGGAACTCTAATAAAGGCTGGTAGAACTGACTTCCCTTAAGGGTGGTTTTATCAAACCTTGAAGATCGATCGGGGAGACTTACAGCATACTCCCAGTTTGGCTTTTCGATATCCTCGAAATCAGCCAAATGCTCCATTCTTAAAGCATCATAGGGGCATGCGTTAACACAGGTCTCACAACCAGTGCAATCCAAGGGCGAGACCTGGATCCTGTAGTGAAGACCGGCAACCTCGGCACCACCCTTGGCTTTACGACTATCAAAGGTACTCGGCTTGGCATCATCCTCAGCTTGGGACAACAAGAAGGGTCTGATGCAAGCGTGAGGGCACGACATAGAGCAAATATTGCATTGAGTGCACTTGTCCATATCAACGATGGGGATCATCAAGGCAACGCCACGCTTCTCGACCTTGGCGGTTCCAAGAGGAACCTTACCACCGACAAGTTCGTCGTTGGCAAAAGCACTAACGGGAATATCATCCCCGCGTTGCAGAGCAACTGGAGCCTGGATATTCTCAGTGAAACTTGGTTTATTAATAGCACTCTTCTCCTTAGCCAAGTTACCAAGAGCGTCATGGTAGTTTTGCTCAAAGCGGAGCATACTATCCGAAAGATTCTTCCAGTCAGCAGGAACCTTGATCTCAGTGATCGCATCAAGAGCCTCATCTATCATCTCGTAGTTCTTTTGGACAACAGCTTCTCCACGATGACCATAGCTCT